TTCACTAGAGGCCCAGTGCACAAAATTCATGCACAGGTAGGGTCCCTAGGCCTGGCCAGCAATCAGGGCCGATCAGGGCCTTCCAGCTGCCGGCCAGGGCCTTCCTTCATTCCGTGTGCCCCCTGGTCATCAGTGCACATCATAGTGAGAGCTCGAACTCCCGGTCTCCCGGTCTAACTCCTGAGGGGACACTTTGCCTATTAGCCTTTTATATATGTAGATAAGCAATATGGAAGCTTTCCTATTTTTCTCCCTATCTTGTCCCTCCAGAACTGGGCAATTCTTAATGAATGAGTCATGGCAATATGTTCCTTTGCATAAATTCAATAAGATCAGTTTCCAATTGTGGTTTTATTAACCAAGACTTTGGCTGGAATGTCATGTCTGAAAAATATGTGCTTGGACTCTGGCTGTCACCAGAAAGCTTTAAGGAATGAAGACTGACTTTGAAGCCAATAAGAGCCCCTTGGAAAAAGCCTGGTACCTTGTTTGATCCTATGGTTTACAGCAAATTTTCCAGGTAAGGAATGAAGGTTGCTTTCCTAAGAGATGGCAGGAAGGAACCTCAAGACATCACTGGGGACCTCAAGAACTTAAGGAGTTCACCCAAGTCTATAAGTATTTCAGGCAAACCTGATGGCAGCTAAATGGCTCAGCTTCTTTGTCCCAAGGGGCTAATTACAGTACAGTCATGAGATTTCGGCAAAGCAGATTTTTAAAAGCTTGTATAATCAATTGCTATTCTTATTGTGTTTATGCAAATGATCAGGCCAAATGGTAACTAGACTTAATACAGTAAGTAAATTGGTCTTAATTTGGCTCTTTAATAAAAATAAGAGTAATTTTAGGGGGGGAAATTGTGTGTTTCAATAGATTCTATAATACACAGTTGTGAATATTAAACCCAAAGTTTTATTTTTCATCTATGAATTGAACTGGACCCTGGATTTATCTAGTTTTCTTAAATATTTGGCTACTACCCTCCAAACAAATGCTTCATTTTTCTCCTATCCTTTTACTTACAATTATTAGAACTAATGTTTCGTTCCTTCCACCAGACCATCTATCATAATTTTGTTCTAGCATTTGCCCTGATAAAAATAAAGTTTATGACACAGTTTGTCTCCACCAGGTTACAAGTCCTCCTTGTCCTCAGGAAATACCACTCCTAGACACCATTACAACCTCCTTCTGTGCCCAGGTTTCCTTGTCCCTCACACAGACAGCCAAGGATCTTTTGGCTCTGAAGGAAAATGTTGACACATTTCAGCAGGAAGCAGCTACAGAAGACACCCTGAGCCCATTTTCTCTGAAAGAATTCAGTGTCAAAAATCCTTGAGGGGGGAATGTTAGACCCACCCCCACCTCCTCCCGAGCAAGGATGATGGGCCAGGCACAGAAACTCACCAGGGCAGAAAGCTCCAGATGCCTAGCAAGGGGGCAAAGCTGGGAAAACAAGAATCTTGCCCCCAGGGTAACCTATTCCCCCCTAGCAGATCACTGGTCATGCGGTTTGGACCCCTGATCTTTCATATCGCTGGTCTGGCAGTTTAGACCCCCTGACCTTTTCCTCCCTAAAGATAACATCTAGGCCTCAGTCGTATTTCAGCTCCAGGCCCAGGAAAGTAGCAAAACCAGACGAGTGATGCCGTGGCTGCCTCAGGACCAGCTATTGACTAATGACCCCCTGCCCTGGCACTGACTAGTCAGTGGAGACCATGACCCTGAAAGAGCACACCTGGAAAGCTGATTAAAATTCTATTGAGACCCTCCTGTGAGATCTCCCCTAAGATGTTCACCTGCAAGAAAGAAAGATGCCCAGGACAAAGGACCCAGTGTGCGCTCTTCCTCCAAGGAGCACGCCCACGCCATTCCCTCCTCCCTCTCATTCCCCCACAGGCACGTACCCCCCAGCCTCTAAGGGACCCCATGAGACTTGCAACCAAGGGAGCAACGGGCAGTGGCAGCTTGTCCTGGGCTTATCCCCTGGACCTGTCTCCAAGGCCCCCTTTTCTCTGTGTAGCCCTTCCCTCATCTCCTATCCCCTTTCCTTAAATAAATTCAATTTTTCTTTAATCACCATCTGAGATGGCTATGTAGCCTGCCTGTGCACCACCAACTTTAACCTTTCAGTAACCTCACAAGGTGATTTGATCATAAATTCCTAACTAGACAGGACATGAGGAGTAGTCAGTAGCCTAGACCAGTGGTCGGCAAACCTCGGCTCGCGAGCCACATGCGGCTCTTTGGCCCCTTGAGTGTGGCTCTTCCACAAAATACCACGTGCGGGCGCGCACGTACAGTGCAAAGTTGATTTAAAACTTTAAGTAAAGTTTATTAAGTTAATTTTAGGGAATGTTGTGGAGTGAAAGAAGATGTAGTGTTGAGGACTGAGAAAGGTATGTTGAGATGGTTTGGACTAATAGAGAGGATGAACGAAAGGAGATAGACGAAACAAGTATACAAGACGAGTGTGGATGGGAGAGTTGGAAGGAGTCGACCTCAGCCAACGTACCTCAATCAGATTGAGGACGTTTTTAGCAAAGGCCAGCTTAGAAGTACCCTAATGAAGTTAATAACAATGTACCTACCTATATAGTTTAAGTTTAAAAAATTTGGCTCTCAAAAGAAATTTCAATCGTTGTACTGTTGATATTTGGCTCGGTTGACTAATGAGTTTGCCGACCACTGGCCTAGACTTATGACTTCTTTAGTTAAAGGCTTATCTTTGCCTTAAGTAAGCCCTTTCCATTGTTTCTATCCATCAAGGTTAATGCCTCTTTGAAATGCCTCTTTCAGACTCCTCCTTCCAGTGTGAACACCCTCAAGAGAGCACATACTCTCATTGACTCTCCTGTAATCACATGGCCTTGCTTGGCTTCCTCCCACCTTTGCATAATATTTCTCAGGGTCCCTCTTTAATGCACAAAAGAAGCTGCAAACAGTCATTTCTTGGAAGCATTTATCTTATTGTCTGTCGAGATCTTGCTTCCACATGTATTCTTTGTTTGACTCCTACAGGTTTGAATGTTTCTTATATCAGAGCAGAAAGGGTGGTGGGGGGAGGAAGCTCAGGGGTGGTGGCGGGAATATTGCAGGTGGGGGCTGAGGCCTGGGGCTGAGGCCTGGGACTGGTGGCAGAAAGATTCCTGCTTCTCCACAGTAGGATTTAGTTCTTGGACTCCTAGTGCCCCAAGGTCCCTGAGGGTCCTGTCTTCAGCCCTGGCAGGCCATTTGGGGCAGCAAGTGAAGAGGGCTGTAACCAACTGGGGTTGAGAGAGGTGGCTGCTGATGTCCATCCAGGGCCCCAAAATAAGAAGTGTTATGCGGATGTGAGGGCTTGGTATCCTTCAGACAGTACCATTTGAGGTCATGATTCCCCATCTGGGAGCTTATACTGTGGCCAGACCCTATTACAATAGAAAATTACTCTTTTCTTTTTGAAGGTCCGGGAGTCAAATCATGCCCAGTTAGCCAAGAAACAGGCCAGGGGACTCCCGCCTGGTATAGTTTGTCGATTCCCCATCTGGAAGGGAGAAAATTAGGAATTAGACAGCCCAGCATCCTGGGGTCAGTTGTGGAGCTTGGGGTCCCAGGGCTCAAAGACTAGTATCTAAAGTCTCAGGCATCTAGCAGGGATGATGAGAGACTAAGGGCACCACCTATTCTCACCATAATCGGAGAGGAGGGGAAATCAAGCCTTACCCAGTGAAGGGTGTCTCTGCAGACCTGGCTGGGGTGGGATATGCCCAGGAATCCGGGAGCAGGCAAGTCTGCTCGACCAGGGCAAAGGAGCAGGAAAAAAAAATAGAGCTAGTATATCCAGGGGTTTTATAGATAGAGGAGGGTTTTGCTAAAAGGCTCTTGATGTAATGAGGTAGTAGACAGTAAGTGGAAGGACTAATGGTTTGAGGTGAATTTAGGGTGCCCTTGACTTCCTAGTTGTCTCATACCATGGCCTTCTGCATGGTATCTTATGTATTCCTTTGATGATGTCTCTGCCATTTCCGCTGGACCCCTCTGTGACCCACTCTGACAGGTAGACCCCTATTCTGAGAGTTATTACATTGTCCAGATTGTGGGAACGCTGTGCCTCCATAGCCCCTAATACTGTAGAAATTCTACCACAGTACTTCCGCCAAGTGCTGTAGAGACTTGACCCGTTAAACCCTGAGAGCGTTTGCAGGTGATAGACAAAGAGATTTACCCAATAGGTCTGGTTGGAAGAGGACAGACAGATTTCCCATTTTAGAGTTGGCCCATGAATGTCATCCGCCCAGACCAGCCGTGGGCAAACTAGGGCCCGCGGGCCCGATCTGTCCCGTTTGAAATGAATAAAACTAAAAAAAAAAAAAAAGACCGTACCCTTTTATGTAATGATGTTTACTTTGAATTTATATTAGTTCACACAAACACTCCATCCATGCTTTTGTTCCGGCCCTCAGGTCCAGTTTAAGAACCCATTGTGGCCCTCGAGTCAAAAAGTTTGCCCACCCCTGGCCCAGACCCTTTGGGGTTTCATACAAAGTCAATACCTAAATAGATGTGGAAGGCCTCCAGGGCGGGGTAGAAAAGTAGGCAATAAGGACCCTGGGAGGATTTCGAAATATGCCCGATAGTTCCAAACTAGACATCTCCTATCCCTTCTACCGGCTTGTTCCAAATATGGAGAAAAGGGTTTTAAGGTTGTGGTCAGGAATTAGTGGTCTAGTGAGTAAAAGGTTCCCGTTTCCCAGGGAGCCTGCATCTGCTGGATGGAGAGAATGTGCTAAAGCCAGGTGGAGAGCTTCGGTATTAGATCTTCTGTTCTTTTCGGCAAAGAGTGGGCATCTCTAGATACAGGTTATTGGGGGCCAATTTAAAGAGGTAGGCCCGTGATGTCCCCTTCAGTCTCACGGCACAGGTAAGGAGGAAGTACTAATTTCTGTGTTGCCTCACCCTCCCAATCCTGGAAAAGAAGGAAAAGTAAAGCAGCCCCTTCTCCAGTCTCAAGGACTTACGGTTCGTGCAGTCCGAGTAGCGGCACCAAAAAGATGTTACCAATTGGGGTTACCGGCTGGGACCTCCGTTCTTCTCGTCGAAGCAGAAGAGATTTTAAGGTCAATGAAAATGAAAGTACAGCGAAGTGGGATTTATTAAAGATACACTGTGAGCGAGAAGCAGGCCAGTCAAGAGAGACAATGCCCCAAACTCCTGGGTTATATAGTTTCCGTGAGGAATTTTCTGGGTGGAGACTTTCACTTGCATTCAGGGATGGTTGACAGAAAGGGGTGATGCAACTATATCTCTTCTGCGCATGCTCTTACCCATACGCAAACAGACAAACACACCAAGGGTGGGGGATGGGAGGGGGTGGTCAAAACTACAATGCAAATTTTATTATAATTAGTCCACGGCCCTAGTAAGGTCACATGGAGGTCATGTCCTTTTCCTCTGAGCTTGCACCAAGAACCGGCTGGTTCTGGACCTACCGGTTCCGGACGTGCCCGCGGGCGGTCTGCTGGCTGCTGGGCCACCCATCGAGGGGTGGTCTGAAGGCCGTGTTGGTCTGACCCCTGTCAGGACCCCAGGGCAGGCCCCACCCAGCCGCTCATGACTGACGTCCTACCTAACAGGCTTGGCTCTGACCTCAGAACGTCAGGATCAGTCTGAGCTGAGTCTTCCGGGTTCCCAAAGCTGATAACTGCGCCTACTTGGTTTTGACCCCTGAGGTCGTGAGAACAGAGATCCCTAGGGGCTGGTTCTGCTCCCAGAGCTCGGCTCCTGCGGCAAGGCCCAGACGCTCCCAACGTCCTTCCTTGGGATCCATCTACTGCAGTGGTTCTCAACCTTGGCTGCACATTAGAATCACCTGGGAATCTTTTTAAAATCCTGATTTCTGGGCCTCATCCTCTGGAAATTCTGTTTCTTTGTTATGGGTGGGGCCACAACAGTAGTAACAAAGAAACAGAGTTTCCGGAGGATGAGGCCCAGAAATCAGGATTTTAAAAAGATTCCCTGGTGATTCTAATGTGCAGCCAAGGTTGAGAACCACTGATCTACTGGGAAGGAGGGAGGAATGGAGGCGATGTCAAGGTTGCCCTCACCCTGCTCGCACTGCTTCTTCAGGCGCTCTGGAAGTCAGGGTTTGAGTGACCTGGCCCCTTCCCAGGGAAAGGAGGGTCAGCCAAGACCGTGATTGCCATAACCTGGCCATTCCACCTGGAAAATATCCCTGGAGCCCCACCCCTCTCTCCATTCCCATTGCCCTGATCCTGTGGAGGCCGCCATCTCAGTGGCCTCCCAAATGGTCTCCTAGCCTCTACCCTTCCCTGACCAGACCACTGTCCTGCTTAAACCCCTTTGTGACTCCCCATTGCCTCCTGGCCTCAGTCACTTCTCCAGCCTCATCCCTCTCCCCTGTCATTTCGTGATCCAGCCAGACTGGACTGGTTCTCTGTGCACTCTTGCTGTGTCCATGCTGTTCCCTGTGCCTGGAGCACCCTACATGCTGAATCCTACGAGCTGTTGAGGCCTTTGCTCCCTGCAGCCTTGTCCCAGAAGGCCCCTGGCTGTCCTCCACTGGGTTAGGTGTTCCTTTGTGCTCTCAGGGGCTCAGGTACTGCTCCTGGGGGAATTAAATTTTTATTTTATTTTACTTGTGTTAAATAAATACATAAAAGAGTGTTTACCACCTTAACCATTCTCAAGGGTACCATTTAGTAGGGTTAAGTACGTTCACAGTGTTATGCAACGGATCTCCAGAACCTTTCCATTTTGCAAAATTGAAACTCTATTCCCATGAACCACTCTCCACTTCCCCTCCCCCAGCCTCTGTGCATTGTTTACTTGTCTTTACCCCTCCCCCGTTAGACTGTGAGCTCCTGGAGGGTGGACAGTCTTGTTTACATCTCCAGCACATAGCCAGGCACCAGGCCCATATATGAATTTATTAATTCAACAAACCTGTATGGCCCCAGGTCCTAGGCCTTGGAGAGCCACCAGGGAATAAAAATCTGTCCTAGTGGATTTTACGTTCTAGCTGGGGAGACAGACAAAATGAAATGCAGACTGTGTTAGAAGGTAATACATGTTCTGTGGAAAGGACAGTAGGAAGAGAAGATTGAGGGTGCAGGGGGTGGCAGTTTTAATTCTGAACAGAAGGAAGGAGACATTCTCACTAAGGGGCTGGCGGCTGACATTTGTTGTTCGTCAGCAGGGAGCTCTGTGTCTCTGGGGAAAACAGCACTCCTGCTAAGGGAATGCACAGTGCAAAGTCCCTGAGGCAGGAGCATGCTTGGTGTCTCCTACGTGGGAAAGTGCAAGGACGTCAGTGTGGCTGGAGTGAGATGAGCCAAGAGGCGGGATGCCTTCAGAAAGGGAACAGCCAAGGTGTGAGCGGAGGCAGAGCTTGCAGGCTCCTGAAGCCCTGTGTGAGTGATGGGGGGAAGGGCACACTATAAGAATAGGACCACAGCGGTTTAATGATTATTCACTTTACTGACTACCGATAAGAGGTTATCTTACACACCCTGGGAAACTGGAGGATGTGGTGCAAGAAGGAAAAACAGAGCTGTAAAAAGATAAGCGACACCTTGGGGCTAGGAGAGTCCATTGCTCAGAAAAGAAAATACATTTGAGAATAAAGGACAGGAGACACTTTGATTTGGTTGCTGTACCTAGATTCTGACCCCCCTCAGGGAGTTTGCCTCAGGAATGCTGACTATTCTTGGGTCCTGGCTGGCAGGCTGGGTTTTAACACCATTGTAAGTTAACTAGCTTGTTATCAGACTTCAAGATTCTGGAAGGAGACCCAGGGACCACAGACCCTGCAGTCATCCCCCGTCCACTCCCCCCTTGCATGCAGCCTTTCTTCCTTGTCTATCCTATCTAATAATAGACAAACATGGTAATTGACCGTACCTTTGCTACAACTCCCATTGGCTAATCAGCATGATATGCAAATTAGCCACCAACAAAGATGGTGGCTAATTTGCATACTGCAGGCAGGGCCAGCAGTGCGGGACACTGCCCATGGGCCCCAGGCCCTGGACCCCTGACCCGGCGACACTGCCTAGGGGATCCAGGCCTTGGATCCATGACCTGGCGAGGGAGCAAAGCAGTGGAGAAGGGAGAGAGCCGAGATGGCAGAGAAGTGAGGGAGCCAAGGGCTAAGCGGTGAAGGGAGGGAGCGAGGCAGCGGAGATCTCTGCTTTGCTGTGGTCTCAGGAAGCCCTATTCTTGCAGGAATAGGCCCGAGGAAGCCCTATTCTTGCAAGAATCTTCCTGCAACGGGCCTCTAGTCTATATAATAAAATTCATGCACTGGGCCTCTAGTATATAAAAGCTTAAGCGATCTTTATGACAAAACAACTGGAATGACTGGTCGCTATGACCACACTGACACCAGGGGGCGGATGTTCAATGCAGAAGCTGCCCCCAGCCAGTAGTTCCTAATAGCCTGATCGGGGCTGGGCCCTGGGCTGGGACAGGGAACGGGGGGTGGGTGGCTGTGGACATGGGTGGTGAGGGAAGGAGGAGGTGGGGAGGTGGGGAGGTGGGGAACTTGATCAGCCTTGATCACTGACCAGGCCTAGAGACCCCACCCATACATGAATTTCATGCACTGAGCTTCTAGTCCCTTATATAGTAGGAAGTGTTCCAGCAGATTTTTCATGGATGGCCTGCTGCTCTCCACTACTGTACACATTTTTGGAATAAATGCTCATATATGATTCAACCCTATCTTTGCTTAATTGGCTCAAGGAGTGACAGGCAGCCTGGACCCATTTGTTGTTTGGTTTCATGAGGGGCCTTTGGAGGTTTTGGGCAGAAGAGTGACATCACCTGACTTTGGTTTTGACAGGATCACCCTGGCTGCTGTGCTGGGAATACCCTGTGGAGGTGGGTGATGAACAGTGGAGGCCCCCTTTAATATAAGCCTCGTTGCCTAACTGTGCGGAATCTGGCCAGCTGACAGCCTCCAGCTGTTAACACTTTCAGGTCTGCTTCAGCTGTCCAGGTGGCCAATCTCTGCTTGGGGTGGCTCCAGGTGATGAGTGAGCCAACCCCTGCCACCCAATGCCACTCTAACAGACAATCTTTGTCTCCAGATATAGAGCTCCCTGCCACAGGTCTTGTTGCTCAGTCTACTTCCTCCCCTTTTCATTTACGGGTATTACTCCCCAGAATACCATTTGCACTCTTTTTTAAAAATTTTTTTTATATACTTTATTATTATTATTACTAGAGGCCCAGTGCGCAAAATTCATGCACTGGAGGAAGGGGGTGTCCCTCAGCCCAGCCTGCACCCTCTCCAATCTGGGACCCCTCAGACATCCCTCTCACAATCCGGGATTACTGGCTCCCAACCGCTCACCTGCCTGCCTGATTGCCCCTAACCACTCCCCTGCCAGCCTGATCAATGCCTAACTGCTCCCTTGCTGGCCTGGTGGCCCCCAACTGCCCTCCCCTGCTGGCCCAGTCACCCCTAACTGCCCTCCCTGACGGCCATCTTGTGATGACATGGGAAAGGGAGAGAGAGAGAAAAACATCAATGATGAGAGAGAATCATTGATGGGCTGCCTCCTGCACGCCCCCCACTGGGGATTGAGCCCACAACCTAAGCATGTGCCCTTGACCGGAATTGAACCTGGGACCCTGGCCAACACTCTATCCACTGACCCAAACCAGCTAGGGTTAGTCTCTTCTTATAAGGGCACTAATCCCAATCGTGAGAGCTCCACCCTTGTGACCTAGTCACCTCCCAGAGTCACTACCTCCTAATACCATCGTGATCCAGCCAGACTGGACTGGTTCTCTGTGCACATTGGGGGTTAGGATTTCAAAATAGGAATTATGGGGGAATGCAGACATTCAGTCCATAATGGGACTTGGACCAGGGTGATGAATACAAAATAATCTATTTACCTAGGGCTGCAGGGTGGCTGTTACATCTTTCAGTAGATGTGGGCTTGAAGGCTGTGTATATGAAATTGAAATCTATCAGATGCACAATTGAAGGAAGCTCATGCAGTTGAGGAAGGAGGAAATAGAGATGTGTACCCTGAGTAGAGAAAGCCAAGGGGACATGAAGGCTATCTCCTGATGACAGTGATGTGCACTGGGGGACTCTGGGTGATGAACATTAGCCCAACACATACTGGATGAGAACAGCAAGCTGTGATGCTCAAAATAGCTCCCAGGCCCAAGGCAGGATGTCCAGGACTGGAATGTCCCTCATCCATGGTCCTGTCCTGCACCCTGGAGAAGCAGGGTCGGGCTGGAAGCTCAGTCCATTCTGGGATAGCCAATGATGTGCCCCGATTGCTCTGATCTCTAAGCCATCCTTGGCCAGGCAGCCAGAATGTCCTGGAAGATGCTAGAATGCATGGTGGCAGATAGGTAGAGATCCCTTCTCCCTAAGACCTTTGCAACCATCCAATCTAGCTGGGGCTGAGGTACCATGTGGCCGGGGGAGCAGGCAGAGACTTTCCTGAGCATGGTTGCACTCGGAGAGTCACTGGCTATGTTGTTAGCGCTGTACTAATGCCTTACCCGCAGTGTCTCCTTTTACCTCTACAACAATCCTAGGTATGTCCTGAGTGCTGGGATGAGTATGTTCCCTTTGCCCCTCTGGTCTACTCTTCCCCCCTCTCCACCCTGCCTTGTGCCTTGGGAGGCTGACTGCCTCCTGGATCTCTGGCTTCTGGTTGGGTTGGGTCAGTGGGAGCCACCAGCAGGTGAGCAGGAGATGGGAGAGTGAAGTTGGGGAATTTATTTGGTTGCTGTGGTTGGATGGAGCACCTGTGTAGTAACCCTGTCCATTGCTACTCTGGAACTAGCCCCAGGATACTGAAGTTACCCCAGGATTCGTGTGTTTCCTTAATCATGCCCACACCTTTTAAAACAGCCCCTCCGGGAAAC